CCTTGAGCTGAAGAGCACTAGGACAGCACCCAAGCCCAGAGTTTAAAAAAGAAAGAAACTCATCTCAACCAATAGTTATTGTGGTAATGTGTGCCTATCATCCTAACTCTGCAAGAAACTTAAATAGGAGGATCTTAGTCCAAGCCTGCCAAGAAAAATATCACCTAAAAAGTAAAGCAAAAAAGGGATGGGGACTGGGAATGTGGCTTAGTGGTAGAGTGCTTGCCTAGGATGCATGAAGCCCTGAGTTCAATTCCTCAGTACCACAAAAACAGAAAAAGCCAGAAATGTTGCTATGGCTTAAGTGGTAGAGCGCTGGCCTTGAGCACAGAGAGGCTTAGAGACAGAGCCCAGGCCCTGAGTCAAGTCCCAGGACTGGCAATAAAATAGATGGGGATATGGCTCAAGTCGTAGAGCCTGTCTAGAAGCATGAGGCTCTGATCCCAAAAGGGATCCCAAGCCAGAGTTAACCTGAGGAGCTTCTGGGCATGATAAGGAATCAGCTGGGTATCATTCCTGAAGTTAGTCTTAGAATGAGACAGTACTGTCATGACCCCTCTGGGGAACAACTCTGCCTTGGTTGATGGGGACAGGAAGAAAGGGAGGGGCCAGTGTGATGCTAGAGTGATGGTGGTAGAACCAGAGAGAGGAGGGAAGGGGTCTCCCTCTCCGTCTCTTCCCCCCCCCCCCGTGGTCTTCACCACTCATAACACTCCCACACAAGGCAGATTCTTCCTCTGTCTTTATTAGCTACAACAAAAGGCTGTGGCTAGTGAAATCTTCAAAGGCAAGAAGGATAATTACCCTCAGAGTGTCCCCAGGCTCTTCATCAGTACGAGGCTTGGTGAGTCCCTGACTTTGCGGTCCTCAAACCTCCCATCACTTCCTATTCCCCTTCATCTTACCTGATTTCACTCTTCCCCCTTCTGAATTTCAGGCACCGATGAAATTAGCCCCAAAGTGCTGCAGGCCCTAGGCTCTGAGCCCATCCAGGTAAAACCCCATCTGCAGCTTTAGTCCAGCACAGCTCCGCCGCCCAAGGGTGGGTCAGGCAGAGGGTAGATCACACCTAGAGTCTCTCACTTGCCCCTCAACTCCCCCCTCCCTGCCACTCATTCTCTCTGTCCTGGTCTCCAGTATGCTGTGCCAGTAGTGAAATATGACCGAAAGGGCTACAAGCCTCGCTCCCGGCAGCTGCTGCTCACGCCCAGCGCTGTGGTCATCGTCGAGGACGCCAGAGTCAAACAGAGGATTGATTACACCAACCTGACTGGTCAGCCAGAGTCTGTGGCTGCAAGGGAGGGTCTCTGCTCTGACCCTTGATCCCTGACCTCTGCCCTTCTCCCTCAGGAATCTCCGTCAGCAGCCTGAGTGACAGCCTGTTTGTGCTTCATGTGCAGCGGGAGGACAATAAGCAGAAGGTGCCCATTTAGGGTTGGTGAGGTGGGGGAGGGGTCCTCTACCTCTGAACTGGGCTTGATCTTTTCTTCCACCGGCCCTCCCAGGGGGATGTGGTGCTACAGAGTGACCATGTGATTGAGACACTGACCAAGACAGCCCTCAGCGCAGACCGAGTGAACAATATCAACATCAACCAGGGCAGGTGAGGCGAGTGGAGGTGGTGAGAGGGCTGAATTGCACCTGGGCACAGAGCAGAGACCCAGCCTTGGGTCTGTCTCTATGGAAGAGCCCTCACATGCTCCCTTCCCTCCAGCATCACATTTGCCGGGGGCCCTGGCAGGGATGGCATCATCGACTTCACACCTGGCTCAGAGCTGCTCATCACCAAAGCCAAGAATGGGCACCTGGCTGTGGTGAGTGGGGTCTGCTTACCTGGGGTCATCTTAGAGCTAGGGTAGACCTACGAGTGTTCAGGCCTTTCTTTGTAGTGCTTGGCAGTCCCTAGGCACCCCACGTATATCCTTAATCCAAAGAGCTCATACTATCCCCTTTGAGAGCCACAGAGGGACGATTTGAGTCTCCTTGATGCAGAGGGTCATAAAGATAGCAGCATAGGGATGAGTGGGGGATACGGAGGAATAGGCAGTGTATTCGATGGGAGAGGAGGCCCACTCTGGCCAGAGCAGCAGGTATTTCTGTGGGAGGAGGACTAGAGTCTCCAGGTACAAGGCCCCTAGACCTGCCAAGTCTGTTACTGCTGTGTCTAGTCTAGGCCTACAGATACTCACAGCACCTGCTTCCTGCTTAACACCTGCGCTTCTCCCACTGTTCCCACAGGTGGCCCCACGGCTGAATTCTCGGTGATGAAGGAGCCCTCTGGACCCCAACCTGATTCCTGATGCTTTGCTTACCCCCTCTGCCCCTCCCAGTTACCAAAGACTCGAGCTTCCAGACAGGGACCTAGGGACACCTCAAAGCCCACCTGAAAACTCCTGCCCCTATTCACCCTCTCTTAAGGGGTATCAGGGGCCAGGGAGCTACCCCAGGAGTGGGCCAGGCCGGGCCACAGCAATAGGAAAATGGGGCGAGCAAGCCATGTCAGCCCCCCTGCTGATGCCAATACATGAGGGAAGGGAATTTCTGTTGAGGTTTTCTCTGAGATTTTTTTTTTTTGATGCTTTATAGGAAAATATTTTTTTAAAAATCCGTTTTCCTACCCCCAAGACACACTGGATGTGTTTTCCCTGATTCACACAGGGCAAGGAATGTAGCTAAGAGTTGAGTGGGGTAGGCTGTGGGGCCCTCTTCCCTATCCTGAACACCTCTCCTCCCTCCTGGCTACCTTGCCTCTCTGTCTGCCTACCCACCTGCCCCTTTTGCAGCCCACTGACCGCCACCTGCCTGCCCCCATATTCCTGCCTTAAGAATATCCTTTCAGCCAGGCACCAGTGGCTCACTCCTGTAATCCTAGCTACTCAGAAGGCTAAGATCTAGAGGATCATATTTCAAAGCCAGCCTGGAACATAAAGTCTGAGCATCTCTATCTTCAATTAACCAGCAAAATGCTGGTATGGAGGCATGGCTCAAGTGGTTGACCACTAGCCATGAGCAAGAAGGCTGAGAAGCCCTGAGTTCAAGTCCTGGTACAGGCACAAATGAAAAAAAAAAGTGCCTGTTTAGAGAGTGTGACAGCAGCTCAGTGGTAGAGCAGCTGCTTAGTACGTGTGAGGCCTTGAGTTCAATGCCCAGCATTAAAAAATACACCACTTCAATATTTTCCTCCCAAAGTAGGAAAAGAAGTCTTAGACATAGGATTTAGAAAACTCTGAGAAAGCATCTAATCCAGACCGCTGGGGTCACAGAGCTGGAGACAGACGCCCACAGAGAGGACGACACCAACCCAAGGTCATACGGCCGGTTGGGGCAAAACCAGAAGTGAAGCCCCAACCCCAGCACTCTTCACTGCCTCTCCCAGAGACAACAAGCCCCATTTAAAACATGGGCCATATCTAAGTGCACACCTGGCTCCCTGACCAGCAATCACTTTTGGGGGCCACCAGATAGGAAGAACTTTCCTGCCTAAGTCCATGCCTTAGGAGGATAACCGCCCTCTCACATCCTTGTACCAAGTTCAAAAATGTGGGAGCTTCACTGGCTCTTGACCCCTCTGCAGCCTGAGAGAGTGGGGAAGGGGCTAGCCTTAGAGAAGCTGCAGGGGCATCACCTCTTTCTGCTGCTGCTTCCCCTGTACCCCCAGAGGGCTCGGAGGGGGCCACCCAGCGGCCCCTGTACCCTTTGGGGACCTCAGCCCACTGCTGACACTTCTGTTAATCCAGAGAAACACTAAATAAAGCAATATGCATTTGCCAACATGGTCTCCTTGTGAGTCTTAAGAATTGCAGAGTGACTCCATGTTCTTGACCATATATATATATATATATATATATATATATATATATATGCACATCTGAGGAAAGCAAGGAGGAGGGCACAGAATCGAGGGAAGTGGGAAAAAATACAACAGAGGGGCACATCAGCTGCACTGGACATTGATCAAAACAAACTAAGCAACTCAATGGAAGCAATGGGAAGGAAGGAATGAGAGGGATAGAGGGAACAGTTAACACTAAGCAAAAGAAAAGAAATGTACATATCACCCAATGCAGAAGAGATAGTTGTACTGTCAAAGCTTGTAGAATTTATAGACCAAGATAATGACAATTTGCCTTGTGAAGGTTAAAGTGTGTTTGTAACTTTAAATATCACTATCTTACAATACTATGAAACCGAAATTTAATCATTTAACCTCAATAACAAAAAAAAAAAGAATAGCAGAGGACGCTAGAAGACAACTGGAGACCTTAAAATTTTTGTATTGTTCACAAAAGCAGCAGCCTTCACACACAGGGGTATGATAACCTGACTAGTGATTTACTGCAGACATGATTCCATTGACTGTTGACCAAATGCTGCTTAGCCCAGCTCAGGGCTGTGGGCTGGGAGCAAAGAAACATCATGCCCAGTGCCTGCCCACATGGCCAGGCAGGGCTTCTGGAAAAACAACCTAGTGTGGGCAGTAAGTAGGCAGTGCAGACACCAAATGTATACTGATAAGAGATGGGCTGCTAGGAGGGAAGTTGGTATTTGAGGTAGGTCTCAAAAGACTAACTTCTATGGGGCTGGGAAGGTGGCTCAGTGGTAGAGCGCTTGCCTTGCATGCATGAGGCCCTGGATTTGATTCCTCAGCACCACATAAGCAGAAAAAGCTGGAAGTGGTGCTGTGGCTCAAATGGTAGAGCACTAGCCTTGAGCTGAAGAGCTGAGGGGCAATGCCCAGACCCAGAGTTCAGGCACCATGACTGGCAAAAAAAAAAAGACTAACTTCTAATTCTGTTGGTGACAACCCAAATCCAAACTGGTGTAGGCACAAAAAGGCGTTGGCAATTTTATAATCCTGGGGAAGGTTGCTTCTCAGTGTTCAAATGATATGGTTAGGAACGTTTGGGGACTAGTTGTAGGCTCAGCTTTCCTCCAAGGTGGTTTTCAAGAACTTCTCCCTGATTAGGTGGCAGTAACAGTAACAGTGCCAACAGCTTCAGGCTCTTTCTTTTTTTTGGGGGGGTCCGGTCGTGGGGCCTGAACTCTGGGTCTGGGCGCTGTCCCTCAGCTCTTCAGCTCAAGGCTAGCGCTCTACCACTTGAGCCACAGCGCCACTTCCGGCTTTTTTCTTTTTGCTTATGTGGTGCTGAGGAATCGAACCCAGGGCCTCAGGCATGCAAGGCAAGGGCTTTACCACTGAGCCACCTTCCCAGGCCCGCTTCAGACTTTTTCTTTCCTTTTTTTTTTTTTTTTTAATTTAACCAGTCCTTGAGATTGAACTCTGGGTCTGGGTGCTATTTCTGAGCTTTTGTGCTCAAAGCTAAAGTTCTACCACTTGAGCCACAGCTCCATTTTCAGCTTTTTGTCATAATTAGAGCTAAGGATCTCATGGATGTTCCTGCTTGGGCTGGCTTTGAACCCTACTCCTCAGATTTCCGTCTACTAAATAGTTAGGGTTACAGGTATGAGCCACTGGAGCCTGGCTTTCAGGCTTTTATTCTACAAGTTTAGCATTAGAGGCAGAAAGACAAGTTTCAGAACCCATACTCAAGACCCACTTGAAGGAGGTTCTCTGCCTTGACCTAGCCTAGTTAGAAGAGCACGTTGATCGGCAGCCCTGGGCCATGTGCCTCTGCAGCCAAAAGCAACCACACAGAATCAATAAAGAGAGGGAGGGAATCTTGGGTGGGTAGATGGTTATTTTAACGGGCTGTTCTGGGAAAGCCCACTGAGGAGGCAACACTGGAACTAAGGCCTGAAAGAGGAAGAAGGAGAGGAAGTGACTGCTGGGCACATAGAACAAGAGGTTAAGGGCAAACCCCTCAAGAGTGGGCTTATCAAAAGGAAAGTAAGTCAGAGATGAAGGAGAGAGAGCAGGATAGAAGAAAGGTGTTGTTGCCTCTCATCTTCAGATGACCTTAATTCTCAGCTCTGAGAGGATGTGGTCCCCACACTGACCACAAGGACCAAGAGAGACAGATGACTCCCCAGAGAGAATCAGAATATGGCCTCAGGAGGGAAAAGTGCTATAAGCTGCAACTGCTGAGCTGTCAGAGGCCAGCAGGAAGCACATTAGGACAGAAGAAATGCACATGGGGGGCTAAGTCAAGGAAAAGGATAGGTGGGATCAGGCACTTGCTAAAGTTGAGCTTCTTCACCTAGGGCCAAAGTTCTTTGAATGTGAAGCCGGGTGCCTGTGGCTCACGCTTGTAATCCTAGCTACTCAGAAGGCTGAGATCTGAGGATCGCGGTTCAAAGCCAGCCCGGGAAGGAAAAGTCTGTGAGACTCTTATCTCCAATTGACTACCAGAAAACTAGAAGTGGCGCTGTGGCTCAAGTGGTAGAACGCTAGCCTTGAGCTGAAGAGCTTAGGTACAGCATCCAGGCCCAGAGTTCAAGCCCCACAACTGACAAGAGAAGGAAGAGGAGGAGGAGGAGGAATGTGATACAGAAGTGGGCACAGTAGTTCATGCCTATAATCCTAGACAGTCAGAGGCTGAAATGTGATCATTATAGTTCAAAGCCAGCCCCAAAGCAGACAAATTCTCTCAAACTCTTATCTGCAGTTAACCTACAAAAAACTGGAAGCGGAGGTTTGGCTCAAGTGGTAGAGTGCCAGCCAAGCAAGCAATCCAGAGTGAGCAAAAGACCCTGAGTTCAACCCCCAGTACTTGGAAAAAATAAATAAAAACACCATATGGGACTGGGAATGTAGCTTAGTAGTAGATTGCTTGCCTAGCATGCATGAAGCCCTGGGTTCAATTCTTCAGTACCACACAAACAGAGAAAGAAAGCCTGAAGTGGCGTTGTGGCTCAAGTGGTAGAGTGCTAGTCTTGAACAAAAGAAGCTCAGGGACAGTGACCAGGACCTGACTTTAAGTCCCAAGACTGGCCCCAAAACAAAAATAAATCACCACATAATGTATAACTTTTGGGTGATTGATGCCATCCCTGAACATGCCTATATTTGATACCTTTCCAAAATTAATTTTTTTGTGTGTGTGTGGGTCGTGGGGCTTGAACTCTGGGCCTGGGCACTGTCCCTCAGCTCTTCAGCTCAAGGCGAGCGCTCTACCACTTGAGCTACAGCACCACTTCCGGTTTTCTGGTGGTTTATTGGAGATAGGAGTCTCACAGTCTCTCCTGCCCGGGCTGGCTTTGAACCGCGATCCTCAGATCTCAGACTCCTGAGTAGCTAGGATTACAGGCGTGAGCCACCAACGCCCGGCTCCAAAATTAATTTATAGAAGCTGGGTGGTGAGGGACATCTGTAATCCCAGCATTCAGGAGAAAGAGGCAGGAGGATCTCAATTTTAAGGCCAGCCTGAGCAATATAAAGAGAATCTGTGTCCAAATACAAAACCAAACAAAAATTAAATTGATCAAAAATAGAAGCACCACAATAATTTGTCTACTTTATCAGTCATAACCTTGGGTGGATCCAAGAAGCTAAGATAGACACCTGTAACCCTAGCTACTTAAGAGGCTGAAATCCAGAGAATTACAGTTGGAAGCCAGGCTAGGCAGAAAAGTCTGCTAGACTCCACCACCAAAATAACCAGCAAAAAGCAGAGTTAGAAATGTGGTTCAAGGGCTGGGAAGGTAGCTTAGTGTTAGACTGCTTGCCTAGCATACATGAAGCCCTGGACTTGAATCCTCAGTACCATATACACAGAAAAGGCCAGAAGTGGTGCTGCGGCTCAAGTGGTAGAGTACTAGCAAAAGAAGCTCAGGGACAGCACCCAGGCCTTTAGTTCAAGCCCCAGGACTGATTAAAAAAAATTGTGGTTCAAGTGAAAGAGTGTCAACCTAACAAGGAAGCCAAGCATGCTCAAGGGCCTACGTTCACACCCCAACATTGAAAGGAAAAAAATAAAAAATCTGAGCACCAGTGGCTCATTCCTATAATC